CATGAGGTGTCTACTGAAATATGCAATGAGTTTGGGAAAGTAATTGGGATTGTATTGACTTCGAAAAATATAAGAAATAGAAAGAATACATGGAAGCAACAATACGATCAAGTGAATGTTATGATGAGCAAAAGTAACTTTGATTGGGATGATAAATTACACAAGGTCACAGCTCCAGAGGAACTATGGAGTGAGTACCTAAAGGTATGATAGTTGTTATTCATATATTTTTAATTTTATCAATGTAAATATTATTTGCTTATAAATGTATGTATTTCTCAATCGTAGGATTATCCAAGAGTTAAGATGTATAGAACCAAGATGGTACCCTTCTTTAGTTCTTTGCCCATTGTACTTGCAGATGATAAGGCCAATGGAAGATATGGTGTGGTTGGGACAGATTTGGAAGGAAATAGGCCCCTATAGATGATATTGGATGTGACAGTGAGGGGGATGATGACTATGACTTCGATGAATCAATAGCTTCTATGCATGGAGATGGTATATCTTGGCAAGACACCACTTCATCAGCTTGAAAGAGAAAACAACCAGAAAAGAAGAGAAGTCGTATGGGTGAGGCAATTGCCGCTTCTCTTTCTAAGATCGCGGTTGTTTTCGATAATGCAATGGAACAGATGACTAAGAAGAGGCAAAGAGTTATAAATAATTAGGAGTTGATGACAGAACTGAAGAGTGTTGAGGGATTTACATCCCATGATTATTTTAAAGCAATTAAGTATCTTGGCGAACACCCTGATATTGTAGCAATGTTCATAAATATGGAATTCGAGTTACGCAAGGCCTGGTTGCTCTTCCTACTTGATGGTAGTGATTGATTTGTAATCTATTAAAAGTACTTAATGATGAGTCAAATGGATTTATAAAAGTTGTACTGATTGTCGTGTTTGATTACCTTTTTTTTTTTTTTGGTGATATGATGTGGATAGTCACACCTTGATTATCATGACTATTTTGGATCGTGCTTGATTGTTATGGCTTGTGGTTATGGATTGTATGAAAGTTATCAAGTGCGATTAAGTTTTATACACTGAAAATGGTCATGAATATTATGAACGGTAGGGAATATGATGGTCATGAATGTTATAAATGGTAGGAAACGTGATGGCCATTATTATTAGGAAATATTTGATGGGTTTGTAAGGAAAGTGATGGTCATGAATATTGTAGAATAACTATGTCTTGTTGAGTAATTAGGCACTATTAAATAACGTTGTTTTATGAAATATCCATTTTTAATAAAAAATCATATTTTTTAGATAATCATGATTTGTTAATAATGAATGGTAGGGAATATGATGTTCGTGAATGTCATGAATGGTAAATGTGATGGCCATCAATATTATAAAATATTTGACGGCTTTGTAGGGCAGGTGATGGTCATGAATATTGTAGAATAATTATGTCTTGTTGAGTAATTATGCCTTATTAAATCATTATTAATAATTGTCTTGGTTTATTAATATTAGTGTTTTCTAAAAATTTCATGGATTATTAAATAATTGAATAGTATTTTATAATAACTATTTACCTAATAATCATGTTTCATTAAATTACTACCATCTTTTTTGTTCTTAACAAATTGAAAATCTATTTGATTGCCAAACAATGGAAATGGAAATGTTTGTAAAGAATCCATGATTTTTGTATAGTTTATCCAAACAAGTGATTTGAGGAATCCATGACAAGAATCCGTAAAAATGAAAATCCATGGATTTCAAATATCTAAGATTGTTAATTTCCTCCTATCCAAATGGGGCCTTAGGATATTTAGTTATCTCTGTTAAGCCACAAATATGGAATCACACAAAACAAAGTTTGACCAAAGAGGCAAAAAATATATTTTTCTTGGCTACCTTTCGAATTATTTGATCTTGAAACCCATACAATCCATGTAACCAAGGATGTCACTTTCCATGAATCAATTTTTCCAAACCAAGAATTCAAGGAATCCAACAACCACTCCGTGCTATCCCTCCCCATTTTTGAATATCCTCCATCTTCTGTGAGCAGCGATGGAGCTCCCACATCTTACAATGGGCCAACTAAGGATTCGCCACCACCTTAGACGCCCTCTTCTCCAGAACTAGCCCCCTCATCATAACTTCGCCTCTGCATTCCATACAGGTTCCACACCCTCTTGCATGGCTTCAGGATTATCATTGCTCCTCCGCTCTCACTACCCTCATAGCCCCCTTGTCTCCTTCATCACCAGGCCCTGAAAGTGTGAAATACCCTATATCTCAGTATCTCAACTATGATAAATGATCCCCTTCTCACCATACTTCGGCAATTCCTAAACTGACCACTTTTAAACATGTTATGAAGGACCACCATTGGCATGAAGTTATGGCTGTTGATATTCAAGCCATGGAGAAAAGCAATACTTGGACGCTTATCGCCTACCAACCCTCAAGAAACCCATTGGATGCAAGTGGGTCTACAAAGTGAAATAACAGTTTGATGGTTCTATAGAATGCTACAATGCTCGGCTTGTAGCTAAAGGCTACGACCAATGGGAAGGTCTTGATTACCATGAGACTTTGACTCCCATTTCCAAGTTGGTTACTATTCCCTAGTTCATTACTAGTGCAACCATTAAGAATTGGGAACTCGACCAATTTGGTAATCTTTATGAAGACTTTTGCATGTCCATTCCACTAGGTTTTTCCAAACAGGGGGAGACCAGAGTATGAAAACTTAACAAGTCCATTTCTTGCCTCATGCAGACCTCTCAAAACTGGTTCGCCATGTTTTCTCAAGCACTCTAGGCTGAGAGATACACTCATTCAGGGGCCAATTAGTCCCTCTTCACCAACACCAAGGGCTCTTCCTTCACTGTTGTCCATGTCTATGTTGATGAATCATTGTCACCGGCAATGATGAGTCCTTTATTGCTACCATTAAGAAGTTCTTGCACGATGGATCCCACATTCAAGATTTGGGGCCTTTGTATTTCCTTGGCTTCAAGGTTGCCCACAACAAATCTGGTATATTCCTCGAGCAACACAAATATACACTTGAGATCTTAGACGACATGGGTCTTCTTGGGTCACGCATTGCTGATCTCTCCATGGACCAGAACTTGCGGCGCAATAACACCATAGTGGACCTCTTGAATGATCACACAATGTTGATTTCTCCATTGATTTATTTAACAATCACATGGCTTGACAAAGTGTACTTCGTTCATATATTGAGAAAATTCATGAGTCAGCCTTGCAAACCACACCTCAATGCCTCCATACGAGTTCTGTTGTATCTCAAGAAGTCTCCTAGTCATGGACTTCATATGTCCTCTTCCAGTACACCCCAACTCAGGGTATAATGTGACTCAGACTGAGCAAGCTCTCTCGAATTTTTTCTCATCGCTTGATTACTGGCTACTGTACTTTCTTAGGCAACAAACCCATTTCTTGTAAGACTAAAAAGCAAACAATTGTGTCTCGCTCTTCAAATCAAGCTGAATATCAAGCCATGGCCAATGCAAGTTGTGAAATTACATGGCTCAAGTTTCTTCTACGAGATTTAGGCTTTCCACACCCTCAACTAGCCACCCTCTTCTGTGACAACCAAGGAAACTTCACATTGCTGCCAATCCAGTTCTCCATGAGCTTACAAAGAATATCGAGCTTGATTGTCACTTAGTTCACGGGAACATAAAAAATGGACTGATATGCGCTTCATATGTTCCTACCCATCACTAGTTAGAAGACATCTTTACCAAACCACTTAGTAGGGAGAAATTCAGTTTGTTGATTCGCAAGTCGGGTGTTCTTGACATTCACACTCCAACTAGAGTGTTAGAGATTTAGTTGATCTCAGCTGTATTTATATTTAGTTAGTGTGTTGTACTTTACATACTCCAAAGTTTTAGATTAGAACAATCCCACCAATATTAGGATAACACAATCAATCCTTACAATCTGGGAATCATTGTAACAAAGTTTTATATGTATCTTTGTGCTCTTTCAATGAAGATCATGCCATTCCAAATTTTACAGATATAGAGATAAACACCATCTCATAAAACTCCATCTGGGCTGCCTCAAATCAATTGAAATTGATCTAACCTTTCTCCTTTTTAAATTGGTCGTTTGGGCTAAGGAGCCCTTCATGAGTATCTTTCTTGTTGTTTGGGCTCCAAAAGTGTTTCTTTTTTCCCTTTGATTGATTGTTCAAGATGCTTCAGAGGTCCCAATGATGAATAATGGAGGTGCAGAGAAGCTATTTGAGCTTGAGTAGAAGAACTGGGGGTCTTTAATGTGCTTTCTTTCTAAACCACTTATGTAGATTTGGGAAGATGGGTTTAAGTCTGGAGAGTGAGGAACTTGAAGATGATGAAGAAAACCGTGTTGGTTGCACAGTAAAATAAAATAGAAGAAAGACCCAACTGTTGTTTCATTCTGTAGTAGGGCTATCTGTAAGCTAATTTAGCTTCTTGACCCCTAAGATTTTGGGGTCATTTTTGCTTATTTGTGTTGGGAAGGTGGGGTGAGGCAAGGAGAGAAGATGGGGGTGAAATTGATGAAGGAAAGAGGTTTCGTTAAGCAGCTTTGCTGCAGCAGCCGGTGTTCCATCTATTGATTCTATTGTATGAGTGTTTCTCTACTTGTCTTTTATAGGTCTCTGGAAGGTACAATGGAGTTATGGTGGTGAAGAGATGGGAAGGAGCAGGATGAGGTCTCTTGCATTGTAGAAACTTATTGGAATATGATGTTCTCTCGGTCTGAGATTTCTAAATCAATTTTCACTAGAATCCAATTATCTATCAATGATATGCCTTTGGATGAACCTGTTCTAAAGGAAAAGGATATTCAATATGTGCCTGGATGGTGATTTTGATGTGAGGTTTTCTAGACTGAATTTTGTGATAATTAGACATATTAACTTCATGTTTAATTGAGGAAAGAATGGAAATGAGTGAAACAAAATAAAAAAATGGGAACTCTATTTCTTAGTAAAGTGCAAAATCTGGAAAAGTTGGTAAAATAATGCAGGGATTGCTTGTTTTCACATATGGCTTCACAAATGAGGTGGGGCATTATTATTCGCAACAGGTTCAACACACAAAACAATAATCTATTTAATTGTATTAGCACCATGAATATTTGATGCAATCTCAGTCATTTTAGAAAATTTACTAACGCAGCTGGATCGCAGAACTTTCTTTTTTCTTCTCCTAAATGGGGATTGCTTTTTCTGTGATTTTCTTTTCTTTCAGATGTTCTAACCTCCCTTGAAAAGTGTTTACATTTAGGTAGAGAATGAAAACATCATCAACATTGTACTTATCTACAATTAGAATTCATTACATGAAACTCTTACTCCTATCTGAGAGGGAGCACCTGAATTGAAGAATCAGAAAAGAAATGAATCTGTAGGCCAAGATGATGCAGACCATGATCCCCACACTACTCCATCTGTTGCAATCCTCCAACCCTTCTTCTCTCAGCAAATCCTTCCCACTTAATAGACATTCTCCAAATTCGTACTCCAAACACTTATGTTTAACCGAAGAGAACTCGTTTATCAGAAAACCCTCGAAGGGGTACTTGAATAGAGAAATGTAGTGCATGAAGAGCCAGTATCTGGGTATCCCATTCTTTGATATAAAATACCCAGAAAAGAGGAAGAAAAACCCCATAACCCCTGATATAACAGAGTTCCCAATGATGAAATTGGGAACCAGAGCACTGAAGCAAACTACTACAGAGTTGGCAGTGTAGAGTATGAGCCAGACTATTAACACAAAGAACAGAAAAGATGACATGCTCTTGCTCAAACCCACCATCCAGTACAGGGGGGTCGAGAACAGAAGGGCAAGGATCAGGAGAAAAGGCAGGAAAACCAGAGCATTCGCGACAGAGTAAGAAGAGATTCTGTAGCTCCCACAAGAGGTTTCCTTCATCAAGATCTCTCTCTCCTGCAAGAAAATTGGCAGAGCCTCTGTTGTTGAAGAGAGTAAGAAAGTGAGAACGAATGCAAAAAGACCCACCCGCTCTTCTGCACCGGTTCGATCCTCTCTTAAATTGGGAAAGATGGATCCTAACACAAGACCTGCTATAAGCATTTGAAGGGTTCTCATGGCAAAGAGCTCCTTGGTTCTGAATATGTTTTTCGAAAATCTCATTGCAAGTATCCAAATCTCTCCCACCCTTGAATTGGCAAAACCCAATTTGAGGAATTCATCGGAACCTCTCTCTATGACTTTTGTAGACTGAAACAGCTGTTGCAAAGTGACCCTCTTCTCATCTGCTTCTTCATCGTCTCTGTCCCTAAACTCAAGTGGCTTGAGCTTGTCAATGGCCTCGATCGCAAACTCAAGGATATTTACATGGAGGGGAATTCCGAGGCCTAAGGACATCATATGGGACTGAAGCTGCTCTGTGGTGCCCTGATAGTAGACCGAGCCATTGGCAAGCATGAGAATGGAGTTAAAGAGCTTGATGATTCGGAAACCTGGTTGGTGAATGCTGAGAATCACTGTTCTACCCCTGAGCTCAGCCATAGACTTTAGCATGTCTATGATTTGGAGGGCAGCATTGCTGTCAAGACCCGATGTTGGCTCATCCAGGAGGAGCACAGCCGGGTCGTGTATAACATCGACCCCAATTGACACCCTCCTTCTCTCTCCTCCTGAGATTCCTCGAATGTTCTCGTTCCCAACTCTTGTCTTGGCAACATGGTAGAGGCCAAGCTCTTGGAGGAGAGAGACAACTTTCGAGTACCTCTCGGAGTTAGAGAGAGAGAGGCGGATGCCAGCACTGAACATGAGAGTCTCCTCAACAGTAAGAAGAGGGAAGAGGGTGTCCTTTTGAGGAACAAAGCCTGAGATTTTCCTGAAATGTGCGGGTACTACGGGCTTTTGGTTTACAAGGAGAGAGCATGTGGCTTTGCTGGGGGTTCTCCGGCCTGCAAGGATCTCTAAGAGAGTGGATTTTCCGGCACCACTTGGGCCTACGATGGCGAGCAGCTCCCATGGCTTTGCTCTGCAGCTTACATTGTTTAAGACTTGCCTTGTGCTTCTCTGTTTCTTAATTTCATGCTTGATTTCACCTTCTTCTGCATTCTTTTCAAGGTGGTCGTCTCCTCCTTCTTGCGTTTCTTGGTAGTCTCTGAATTTGGAGCTTGATTTGGTTATGTCGACTTGGTAGCAGATGTTCCTCGCCTCTATCTCGAACCCCTGCTTCATTGAAACCCTGCTTCTCTCTCTGGGTGTTTGTTTGCTTTTAATGTTGTATAATCCTCAAAGCAATTCGGTGTTTTCTGCAGAAATGGTAGTTTGAACTCACGCTGGCTAAGGCACTGAATGTAAGCAAACGTGCATGGTCCTTGGGGTAAAAATTCAAAATCCAGTTTAAAATGGTTTGTTTGATTTTCCAAGACTAAATCTTCGCACAGGAATAATGGAAAAAGTTTATATAAGATCTCAACCTTATATTGTACATGCACCTAAAACTCGCTCTAGTGATAGTTGTTTTTATGCTGAAAAACTCTCAAATCGATCATTTCGACTTAGAGATTCATAAACACGAAAAATAAGGAGATTTGTAGCTCAAAATATTGTTCATTTTCGCATTATTTGAATTATCCATCTTCAAGATTTTCAAATGTTTATAGATTTACTTTATCCTTACTATTTTTGAAACACTAAATTTCATAATTGGGCATAACAGTTAATTTTCATGTAATGGCAAAGCTTTGCAGCACCAAAACTATATTTTCGATATATTTTTTAGGCACACCTATTTCAATAGTATAATATAAGGTTGACACCTTATAAAAACCTCACCCATAAATCATACGCTTTCTCTATGTACGAGAAAGGTAACATGTCATATCGCCTCTTTCTCTCTGGAATTTGACATGGGTGATGGATAAGGATGGGTTTCTATGAGTTTGAAAGATTCGTGGTTCTCTGTCTCCCACGGTTGAGGATTGAGTACAGTAGTAAAATATAAATTGTGGCTGTAAATCATCCCATCGATTGCTTATGTGGTGGAGAAAAGGAGAGAGAGTGAATCGTCTTTTTGAATTATTTGTTATAGAATTGCAAAGTGAGTACAGTAGTAAAATATAAATTGTGGCTGAAAATCATCCCATGGATTGCTTATGTGGCAGAGAAAGAAAAGACTCTTCTTTTTGAATTATTTGTTGTAGAAATGGGAGCACCTACAAATGAAGTAGGCAGGGGGAAAGTGCTTATTGTTGTCAGTGAGAGGAACCCGTGAGCTTTGGTGTCACGGGCAGTAAGAGAGGAAGAGAGAGTGGCTGATGCGTTGCTCTGCATTTCTCAACAACACTGTGAAGGGATACTACTGTTCCACACGTGAACTCCAAATAATCTCTCGCAATGTAAGAAAATTTTCTTTAAAAAAACAAAACTCAATGATTGGATAGATTAAGAGAGAGAAAGGGGGGTTTAATCTGCAAGCCTGTGAAGTAGGCATTGGTTTGAGAGAGAGAGAGAGAGAGAGGAGGGCTCTGCACACTAGTCAAGGAGATAGTGGTTTCCAAGGTGTGCCTTACAGCAAACATTGGCATTGGACATTGTTCGTGTTTGCATATGCCCACATATTCTTCAGCTTCTTTTTTTATCTCTCTGGCTGGTGAATTTTTTTTACTGAATACAAAATATCATTTATTAATTGATTAAGAAGATTTTGCCGAAGTTTTTGGTTGATTGCGACCTTGTAGGTCTGGGGTCATTAAAGGGTTGGTTTTTTTTGGTCTTAGCCAAGGTGGTTCGTGTTGTATCTGAGAGCACTTAGATCAGGCGATTGCAAATTCTAATTGAATTTCGTCTTTTTTAGAATCCATTTTAGAACTGTTGCCCACTGTATCTTCGGATCATTGCCCGGTATTAGTGACCCCTTCTTCAACTCTCCCTCATGGTCCTAAACCTTTTAAATATCTTCAGGCTTCGCAAATGGCTCCTGATTTCATTAAAGTGAGAAATGATCCGTGAAAGGGCAGGGTTGGTGGTAATACTCAAACATCTTTACTCAAATCTTAGTTAATAGAATAGGACTTCCTTTGACATATTGATGAGGAAGTCAAGGTTCCGTCTACCAGAACTTCATGATCTTCTTCACTTTGATCCACTAAATGCTTCCCTAATTCAAGAGGACAAGGTCTATACAACTCATTTACAGCAACGTTTTTAGAATGAGGAAAGCTTATTGAGGCCAAAAAAAATATCTAAAGAAGTATGGTTAAAAGATAGTGATTTGAACATCAAATTGTTTTCATTTATCTACAATGGCTAGGCGTAGGAATGACCGGATCTGTTCTCATAAGGACTCAGAAGATAACTTGATCAAAGACTGTGAGGAAGTGAATTCTAAAAAACAATTCTGGCTAAAGGAATTCTAAAAACTATGATTCTAAGACTTAAGTGTTGTACATCATTTTTGACGTACATACATCTCTGGTGCAAATAAAGTGAGAGTCAATAACAACTTGGCCCTGCCGGTACCCAAGACACTGCCAAATCAAGAGAACACTACACAATAAGTCCAACACTAGGCAACCTTGGAAAAAATACTATCATGTCAAAAAGAAACCTTAGAACTATAGCCTTGGCCTATGGGCTTCAAAATAGTACCAGACCACCATCGTTACGTCCAGAACATCGAAAAGCCCCTAGGAACCAAATTTGGGCTCAATTGGACCTTCCAAGAACATTCTGAGTCCAAATTACTTCGAACGGGTAGGTCATACACTATTCCGGTGGGGCCTCACCAAACTAGTCCCCAATCATGGAGGCCTTAGCTTCACCTCTCGGGATAACCTGCAAACACCCACATATCGCTCGTTTGGAGTCGGAGCAAGCTCAAAATCAGACAAGCTAGATCTCAACAACCCGGTCATTTTGACATATGGCACGCCTCGTGACGTGACCCAGAATCAAAGCCTCTCTAGAGAGAAGATGAGCACGAAACCATGGAAACAATGCTTTCGAAGAAAAAGACATGAAGCAATAAACTCGAGATTTGTACATCAGATTATCGTAAAGATAGGTTTGATGAGACTGTATCACGAAGGGCTACAAGCTGGTATAACTGTTATACTCAATCTAAGGTGAGATAAGTCGCAAATTCCAAGGATAAAGAAAGCAAGATTCTTTGATTGCCAAAATCCATTTTTTCGATGATATCTTGAAATCAGAAAGTACTTCAAGCAAGAACCAAAATGGATAAAAGTAGTGCAAAAGACTTTGGAAGTCTTTTCACTCGTTGTTTGCCCTGCGCAGAAAGATGCGTGGTCCCATCTCTTTTCCCCTTGCATCTTTAGCGTAGACACAACAAGCCTGCGACACCGTATTGCACCCTGCTATTAGACATATGCTCGACCCAATACCATTCAGAGTCAACCAAAGGATTTCAGCCCTCAAATCATCACTTTAACTTCCTCTATGTACAGGTCAGTTGAGTTGTGAGAGACGCATACGCCCTCTCCTTCTGTCACTCGGGAGGAGTCTTCCTGAGCTGATAGCCAAGAGAGTTATACTCCTTCGGCTGCCCTGATTGCGCATAAAGTTTGCGTGGATAGGGGATAATTCATCACCTTTCTCCCTTATCCCTTCTTTTTGTCAACCAGCCCTCGTTTGAGCGAGCCACTATAAAGGAGTACAACATAATACAGTTTCCAGCGTGAGAGAACAAAGGAATAAGTTAAAAAGCATGAGGAGAGTCTGTGGCCAAACCGTGCTGGCAGACAACCGGAGGGCTTCTTAATTGTTCTTAGAAGGTAAATTTCCTGGGTGTGTCCTGAACCCCAAAACGGCAAGGTAAGCACCTAAACGCACTCCCATCATAAAATCTCTCTATTTGTTGGTTCCTATCAGCACATAAGATAGCACGCGTGCACACACTCACAAACGGGTAGTGCGCGCGGACCCCTCTCAGTTGTTTGAGAAAGGATTTTTCCCATCATACACATGAAGAAAAATCAGCCCGACCAGCTGGTGACTCTACTGGGGACACTGTTTGAACGTATTTTTCATCACCTTGGTCCCTGGTAGGAAACTGGTCAATAAAGCCTGCAAAACAATGGAAATTCCCGACAATCTCAAAATGTACCCAGAATGGGTCAAGATCGTCATCCACACTCCAAAAGACCACCTGCCAAGTTTCATCGCATTTCGACATGTCTAAGGCAATGAACACAAAGGAACAAACACCCTGAAATGGACCCTACAACTGGAACTACATTTTCGATGTCTCAAACCACTGTGGGACCACCTCCATTAGATCTGGCGCGATCGAAAACCCCTATGGTCCAATTTTCAGCTTAATCAGACACTTTAGGACAAAGCTATGAGTAAAACATTGAAACAGGAAGGGCCGTACACTATTCCCGTGTGGCCTCACTGCACTAGAACACCATTAAAGGTGATTGTTTTACAGTCACGGGCAGTCACTTTTAGAGCCCATAACTTACTCATTCTAAGTCGGAATGCTCCCAAATTTGGTGAGCATATTTGTCTCATCAAGACGAACAATTCGATACGTGGCACGCCCCGAGATGATGACCGAGCAAGGAAAAAAGCTAGATAGAAATTGCCGATTCATAAAGAATTTGTAGAAAATTCAGCAGCGACACGCCTCGCTCGATAAACCTAATCATGACGCTCGCACAACAGATCGATGTGAAACCAATTCCATTATGTACGTAAGGTCCAGGGTTATCATTGATCTGAACACTGTACATGATGAACGGTCAGATTTCAAGCATGAAGCCAATGAAGTGACTAAAATTTTGGCCGTCGGATTCCAGATTTCGACCAAAACTCAAAAGTTGTGAAATCTTCGTTCGGACTCCAAATCGCTTTCCTTTTATTTCCACGCAATTGTGACGGCATGATCAGTGCACTATGATGAAGAAATCACAGAAAAACATTAAGGACGACCGCACTATAAATATGAAGTTTCCAAGATTCAAACAAATTTCAAGTCTCGTGATCATGGCTTAAAAACATTATTCATGACTTGAAGTTGGTATCAAAACGATCGTCATGATGAGCCCTACAAAAAAATAATAATTTTTTGATCAAACTGGCATCAGAACACCCTCGGGTCAGTCATAGAAGATCACACAAGATCTCGGGCAGCAGCATGGACTGCTATGAAATTCCTCACATTGTTAGATAGGGGCAAAACAATCTTTTTGCACCCATTTTTAGAAATTTTTTTAATTTAATTAAATCTTAATTTTTAGTAATTAGGTCTAATTTTGATCAATCCACTCATTTTTGGGCTCAATTCTATATAAACAGGCACTACATCATTGTAAACAAACCCTTCGGCCTTCAGTTGATTCTTGGAAGATTCAATAAAATTTTGATTCCTTACGTGAGCTTGTGAGTATGTCTTAGAGGGAGAGAGGAGAGACAATAAAAGGGTCGATACCCTTCGAGCAAGCAACTTTCTCTCTCTTCTCTCTCTTTCTCTCTCCTCCCCTCTCTCTTCCCTCTTTCTCTCTCGTCTCTCTTTCTCTCTCTTCTCTCTTCTCTCTCTCTCTCTCTCTCTCTCTCTCTCTCTCTCTCT